GGAAGGTTATAGTTAACAAGCAGAACTGGCCATGTACTGTGACGACTGCTCAAATCACCAAAAGGATTAATGCCGTCCGTACACATTGCGAAACGCATGTTTCTTGGGTCATTTGAGAATTCCTGGTAAATCCTATCGATTGTCCTCCACTGTACTGAATCTGCTGGGTGCCTCAGCATAGTATCGACTTTCCGTTCTTCGGCATGCCAGCGCACAAGCTTAGCTTGTTCCTTGTTCGCAAACATTCTCTTCATGCGCTCCGCAATTGGGAGATACCACACCACCTTTGCTGGGCCTCCCCTCTTTGACTTACTTCCTTCACCTTCACTCTTTGCTCGTTTGTATCTTGATGCCCCACAGATAGGGCAGACATCCAAGTCAGCGTATTCCTTGTAATACAAAATGCAGTCGTTCGGACATGCATGAATTCTTCTGACCTCCAGGCCCAACGGACATAATACTTGCTTCGCTTCATATGTCGTCTGAGGTAAATTGTTCCCCTCTGGCAACAGATCCTTTAACAACTCAAGGAGTTCTGTAAAACTCTTGTCCGACCAGCCATTACTAGCCTTAAGCTTCATGAGTTCCAACACGCATAACAACTTGCTGTGCTTCGACTTGCATCCATCATACAACGGCATCTGGCAATCTTCCACCAACTTACTAAACTTCTCATAATCTCTGTCGTTGTCCTCTGCGTCTTCAATGTCATGCAACATTGTAGATAGACATTGAGTGTCCAAATCTATGGTCTCTCCACCTAAAGGAGAAGGTACGAACATGCCTTCTCGAGCTGCGGCGGTGTTCTCTACATCCTGATCCAACACTTCTTCAGCTGCGACATCAGGCGCCTCTTGCTCTCCATGCTTGGTCCAGCAGGTATATTTCTTCATGAATCCATTCATTATCAAATGAGCATGCACTTCATCCTTGTCTTCGATCATCTGTTCATTCTTACAGTCCCTACATGGGCACAACATGTGCATGCTCATCCTACTTTTTCTGTCATTATCCGCAAATGTGACAAATTCAGTGACCCCCTCTCTATACTCGGTAGACGAACGATGCGCATAGTACATCCATCTACGATCCATCTGAAATCAACAACATACGAAGAAAAATAAATGATGATCGATATGTTGAGAATGAATGGAGAATAATGTGTTTTTTACCTTGAATTTTAGCAAAAAATCGCCCCCCTTGCCCTCCCAACCGATTTGTGAACAGTACAATGGTCGGGATGGAAAGCAGTTGGCAGTTTGGGGGTATTTATAGACCCAACACACCTCAAACGGGTTAGATAAAAAAAGCCCGTCAAAGGTATTGCTCATACCTTTGACGGGCTTCTATTCAACGGCCCGTCACTGGTATCCTCTCACCTGTGACGGGCCAGAAATGAAAGCCGTCACAGGTGGCGGCCCATCACCTCTGACGGCTTCTAATGTATCGGCCCGTCACAGGTGAGGGGATACCAGTGACGGGTTGGAAGAAAAACTCGTCACTGGTATACCTCTGACGGGTTTTCCTTTCGGCCCGTCACAGGTGAGGGGATACCTGTGACGGGCCGCGGCCAGATGCCTCACCGGTGACGGCATCCCGTATAACCCGTCAAAGGTAATGGTCACTACTGACCAATTCGTTTGCCCGTCACAGGTATCCCGTCAGAGGTGTGAGGATCTGGCGTAGTGCCTGTTCATAACATGAACCAACACTGATATACAAATTATCATTAAATTGTAGCTGGTTTATAATGTGAACCAACTATACCTTTGTTTGTTTTTTTTTTACAAATTTGGGTCTGTGCTCTCGACTACTTGACAGGCACTTTAAAATGATGCCGCTGTGCCCGCAGTCCAATGATCCACCTATGTTTGTCTCGGATCTTACCCATGTTGCAACCAGGCTATGGAATATGGAGGTGGTCAGAGATCATATGTATGAGATGAACGCAGAAGCAGTAGCTACTCTAAATAAAAAAAAAATCATGTAAGCAGTAGTACCCTTAAAATTCTAGGCCGAGTTTAGTTCCAAACTTTTTTTTTCAAACTTTCAACTTTTCCATCACATCAAAATTTTCTTACACACACAAACTTTCAACTTTTCCGTCATATCGTTTTAATTTCAACCAAACTTTCAATTTTAACGTGAACTAAACACACCCTAGTTGAATGACCCTTACAAAATTGTTTTTTTTTAGACTCGTACAAAATTCTTACTGAAAGTCAACCATGTGAACACGATAGATATTCATATTTGAACCTTGGGAGTGAAATTATACTTAGCTATGTATAACCACAATTGTACCACCACAATGGGGATATTTTCTAAGGGGAAATTAATGCATAATTGATTACTTGCCATGGATCGTTGAAAAAATTGTGGCTTTAACCGATGGCTGGAGCTCATCATGGTTATAGGACAACTCGAGAATGTTAAATTAGGTTGTGTATGTAGCCACAACTCTATCACTATATTAATGATATATTTTGTGAGGATAGATGAATAGCCGACTTGGCGACTTGCCATCGCGATATTTATAGACCGATAAGTCTATAAATAATCACGGCTTCAACTCGAAAATGATAAACACACTGAGAATAAATCCTAAGATCAGAAATGAATGATTATATACAAGCCAACTTGGTATTGATCACCAATAGTTGCGGCTTTCCACCGGTGACTGAAAAACACATCCATGCAAACAACTGGAGAAGGCTAGCACGTACCATGCAAACTACGTACTGTTGTACGTAAGTACCCACACCTCTATCGTGTTATATATGTCCATATATCTGAACTAGGGAATAGACGTGACCAGATAGGTACACATGATGAATAAAGTTGGCCAAAAGGCCCAAGGCCCGCTGGCCCGGTCTATAGCACGAGATTTTGGCCCGGCCTAGGCACAGCACAGCACGACCGTGGGCCCGTGCCTAGGACTCTGCCTCGGCACGGTCCAAAGATTAGGGAGCCAAATAGCTGAAGGAGCCAAACTAGACTTATTCCATCCATATAAAGGTATGACCCAAAGAGATGAATGATGCAAAATAGACTTATTACAGCCATTTCGAGACGGCCCAAAGATGAGGGAGGCAAAATAGACTTTTTCCAAGAAGGAGCACAATAGGCTTTTGTTCCTCGAGCCAGCTCGGCACAGCCCAAGTCTTATTAGGCCGTGCCTGGACCATTGGTCCAGCAAGTGGGTGAGCTCGGCCCGGCCCGGCATGTAGGTTGGGCCAAGCCCAGTCATGCCTGAGCCGTGCGTGGCCAAACGACCCGTTTTGCCATCTATAATCATGGATCATCTTACTTTTGATATCAGAAAGTCATCAATAATGGTACACATTTACCCAAGGCATATGTGCGGTCACGGGTCATCAGGGGCAGAGCTAGAGTATTGAGGGGTGCCCAGGAACCCAGTAAAGAAAAAATTGTAGCTATACCTGACATATTTTCACCATGTGTGCATCCCCCACAATACAAATTTAGACACCCGCATTAGCTTAAATTTGATATAAATCAGAGTAAATTAAGCAAGTGGCACCCTCCCTCCATCTCGCTCCAGCTCCGATCCGCCTTGAGTCGTAGTTCCGTACCAGTGCTTTGGAGTGACATGCATGTCATTGCCACATGACTTGCCAGCGTTCGATCAGTACGTAGTTGCCGGAACGTACGCATCCATGCACTGATGCACACAACTGGAGAAGGCTAGCTGTATCGTACCTTTGCACCACTGTCACTACTAGAGAAACAATTTTTTCATTTATACGGTCAAAACCGATTTTCACGAGCACTTGGATGGTCTGTCTGTACCCAAGTGTCTTCTAAAATCAGTACTTCTACATGTGGGTAGAACAAACGCATGCGAAACTTCATGTGGGTGCTTAAGCCGTCTGACTGCAAAAAAAAATTCCCACAAAAAATAATCCAAAATCCTAGCAGCTCCCGTGCCGGTGGCTGTCACCGCTCTCGTGCTCAGGGTTTGTCCTCGCTGTCGCAAATGCCCTCCCCCACTCCCATCGCCGCCTCTGATCCATGCGTATGGGAGGGGGAGAGCCCATCGGATCCACCTCCACTGAGCTCCGCATCACCGGATCCACTGCTGATGTGCTTCCCATCGGGGCTCGTTGGTGGTGAGCTCTGGTTTGATGTGTTGGATGTATACTCCAGGCCTCAGCTCATTTTGCACGTGAGCCAGCTTAAGCTAGCTTGTTATTTCGAACAAGCTAAAACACCAGCTCGGCTTGTTAGAAAAACGCAACGAGCCAAGTCGAGCCTAGTCGAGTTGGTCACGAGTCAAGCCAAGTCAAGTTGGTCACGAGTCGAGTGAGCTAACAAGCCACGAGTTTTTCGTCCACCCCTACCCACCGTTGGATCCACCGCGGCAGCCGCCGCTCCCTACTGCCGGATCCGTTGCCGCTGTGCTCCCCACCACTGGATCCCCCATCTCCGAGCAACCTTTTGTCAGATCCTCCGCCACCAAGCTCATGCCCCTTCCTGTTCCTGCCTACTGTCAGATGAAGTGGTCATCGGCTGCTCCCGTCCACTGCCGGATCCCTCCAGCATTGATCGCACTCGCGTGCCACCGGCGGAGAGGAGGAGGAGAGGAGAGGTGGAGAGTAAGTGGAGGATGGAGAGAATGAGGAGAGAGAGGGGAGACTTGATAATTTAAGGATGGGCTTGATCTTGTGGGCCGGTGGCATATGGACCTCTTACTAAGAAGTCATCTTAAGAGACCTACAATGCAATTCTTGAACCGCGTTCGGGAAAGTGATTTTTCAAGTGAGAGCAATTTTGGCTTGCCTACACCTTAAAGGGGTCTTGTCTGAGAATTTTGATTTTGTAGTAGTGTGCTATAAGTACATGTGTCTAGCTTTTTCGTTCCAAAATAAATAAACTTAGTATGGATATATCACATCTTAATTTTTTTAAAAACGGATGAAGTAGTCTGTACTCTGTACTCTGTACACCTACTTCTATCAGCTGATCAGAGTCGATCAGAGAGACAACGCAACCAAAATTCCAACTTGTCATCCATGCATGCATCCTCCACGTAGCTAGCCCTATACTCTACCTTAAACTCTCCACTGGATAAATACCCCTACAAGCCTAAGCTGCCATGGCCAACCCCAGAGAGATCAGCTAGCTAGCTAGCCAGCACTCTGCACAGCACACAACGAAACGCAAACATGCATCGCGCACGCCTCCTCGTCGTCGTCGTCACCGCCGTCGTCACCCTCCTGCTCCTGGCGCCGGCCGCCGGAGCCGAGGAAGACGATCAGTTCGGCTACATCCCCGGCACACCGAGGGGGCCGGAGAACTGGGGCAGCCTGAAGCCGGAATGGGCCACCTGCAGCAGCGGCGAGATGCAGTCGCCGATCAACCTCGGCCTCCTCGACCTCACCCTGGCCCCCGGCCTCGGCGACCTCAACTACACCTACCGAAACGCCAACGCCACCGTCGTCAACCGTGGCCACGACATCATGGTCAGGTTCGACGGCGGCGATGACGCCGCCGCCGCCGGCGGGCTGGTGATTAACGGCACGGCGTACCGGCTCCGGCAGGTGCACTGGCACGCGCCGTCGGAGCACGCCGTCGATGGCCGGAGGTACGACATGGAGCTGCACATGGTGCATCTCAACACCCAGAACCAGACCGCCGTCGTCGGCATCCTCTACGCCATCGGCGCCCAGGATGAGTTCCTGCACAAGGTTAATTATCTCTGTTTGATGGATCGATTTAATTTCTTTGGGAAAAAAAGATGTTTAATTAGTGATTCGCTTGATTAGTTGCATGCATGACCAAGCTTTTTAGTTATCGTTAACTACAACATCATTCTTGCTTCTTGACGCCATGTGTTAGCTGTGATGGTTAGCAGGTCAGGGGGTGGTTTTCATTAAATCGTCACCGATAAATTTCCACATATGTATATTTTTATGCGTAGTGTCCAACTCATCATATTAGTATACTCCATCCATTCCGAAATACAAGAATAATCACTTTTAATCCAAAAACCAAGAAACAATTATTATCGTCTAATTGTTTAAATTATTCTAATAAATATAATACATGCACCCAATAGAATTAGAAACTTTAAAAGTGAAAGTTAAAAAATTAATTTAGTAGAGAAGAGACACTAGTTAATTGATTGTATGCATGCACATTTTATATTATTAAATATATAAGAAAAATAGATGTACCTTTTTTTTTGGAATAGAGGAAGTATAAACTTATGAACTAATGTTGTATGCAGTTGGAGCCATATATTATTGAAGTTGCAGACCAAAAAGATAAGGAGAAGATTGTCAATGGTGGGGTGGATCCAAACGTGGCCAAAGAGCATGATATCGTGTATTACCGCTACATGGGCTCCTTAACCACACCACCTTGCACCGAGGGAGTTATCTGGACCATTGTCAGGAAGGTATACATAGATATATATGTAGTTGGCTTAAAATTTCGCAATTTGTTCATATACCTTGCAATCTCAATCTCTGAGATTCCTTGTGAAAATTTTTCTTTTTTGTATTTTCTTTAATTTGGTTAAGATGAAGAGGTTCTAAAAATTTTAACGTTGGCATGTATATACCACAAAGGTATGATACTACCTCCGTACTAAAATAACTTCATCTTTTGATCTTGGTTGTGAAAAACAAGGTGAAAGAAGAAAGACCAAAGTGCTTCTTACTGATAAAAATTTAGTATTGGCGGGTGATTAAATAAGGGGTATTAAAAGAATAAAAGCTCATCGATTTACGAACCGAGGATAGGTAAGAGAATAGAAATAAAGTTATTTAGGGACAAATGGAAGAGGCTAAAAGTGAAGTTTGGAACGGGATACTTTTTAATTTTAATTCATGGAAGGTGCTAGACACCATAAATCAACGTTAAAATGTCGCTCTATCCGGTCATAAATATTTAACGATTACAACAACAAAGATTTGTTAAGTTTTTAAAACTTTAGCATCAATAAATTTCTTAAATGCTTAGTTAAAAAAAGGAAAAAGAGGGTATACCTAGACTTGCCTATAAAAAGTATTATCAGGAGATTTTATAAACTTATCCTATAAAATACAAGTATTATCAGATAAACTTATCCTAATATACATTGATGGTCAAACTTTTAAAAATTTAATTAAATCTTATCCAAAGCATCAAATATAGAAATGTATATATATCTGCCTTGTGTTCAGTTTTGATACGTGAGCTAGCGAGGGATGTTCTCTGAAATATATGTTCTTTTTATCTATTTTTTCAGGTGCATACTGTGTCGCTGTCTCAGCTTGCACTTCTCAAGGCAGCTGTGGTTAATGTAAGTTCACGAAAACTTCTCAGTTCTCCACATTTCTCCCCCCAAGAAACAGAGCTCATATAATTTGATTTCCGATGCAACAATTGTCAAGAGCAAAATGCAATATATATATATATATATATATATATATATATATATATAAACGTCCATTAATATGCCCAGTTCAACTACAGGTTCAACCTCACTCTTCAAGGCTAACCGAATCAATTCGGATATATCAATCTTTTATATATATATTTTTTGAAAATGGAAGAGATATATATAAATGATGATTGGCTCTTAATTAATTATGCCTTAATTACTCGATATGCAGGGTAATGAGAAGAATGCGAGGCCCCTCCAGGACGTGAACAATAGGAACATCGGCTTGTTCATTCCTCTCCCTCTGATCAACGTATAAATTAAACACGCATGCATGACGAACGTTACAGATGATTCCTGAAGTCAGATACTCATACATCACTCGTTTGTGTGTTGCTGTTGTCGTCATTGTCTTACTAAATAAATATATATCCACTGTCAATTTAGATTTAGCTAGCTTAATTCGAAAGAGATGTATATATATGGTTTAATCACACATTTGCATACATAGCATAATGCATATTGAATGCACATGCTCAATCATACATCGAGATATATATATATATATATATATATATGTATATATATATATATATATGTATGTATATATATATATATATATGTATGTATATATATATATATATATATGTATATATATATAATATATATATATATATATAGGACACTCATATGGGGCACCATGGTGCCCGGGCACCATGGTATCAAATGCAAAAAATCACTCAAATTTTTCAAAATTTTCAAATTATGAGTATATACCTAGTTATAATAATTCGATTCATACCTATACCTATCAACAAAACAACTCAAATTTAACTTTATTTCACAATCCATGATTACATACCTAACTAAATATATGTATGGATGCTATATACCTAGAATCAAAATCTAACAAAAACAAGTTCAAATTCAGTTCAAACTTGCTTTGAACTAGTTAGTAAAGTGGTTAATGCTAATACCTAAGTAATTGAAAAAGATTCATACTCATTTGAATTGGGTATATACTCAATTTCAACAATGGTGCCCGGGCACCATGGAGCACCAAACAAATTTACTATATATATATATATAAGTATGCATCTCTTTCGGTTACTAACTATATATATGTATGTCAGTATGATTATACTATGGACTAAATATAATACTATCTCTGTTAAACGTCGTTGCTTTTTTAATAACGTTTGATCGTTCATTTTATTAAAAATTATAAATATGCTAAAGTAAAGCCATACTTAAAACTTCTAATAAACGATATATCTATTATTATATACTAAAAGTCCACTAAACATCCTATAAACGCTCTCAAGCCGCCACGTGGCACTCCTACAAACGCTCCTAAGTCGCTACATGGCACTATCTAATCTCACCGTTGATTTTCACTTAAATTGGTGGACCCGTTATTTTACACCATTAGATTAGATCTATTATTAGAAAATAATAACTTTCTCATGTTTATAACATACAAGCGCTATAGTCCGTACGTATGAGTTTGTACGTTACAAATGCCACTGCTGTACTTTCCGTACGTACAAACGTATATGATTGAAAACAAAACTTTCCTAATCTTCGCTAGAAGAAAAACAAATACACATATACATAAAAAAGACAGAAAAAACGTACATTCATAAAAATCAACGGTATTTAAAATATGACTTTCTGCAATATAAAGATAAAATATATTACTTCACAAATATAAATATATTTAGTTAAATTAAGATCTATAATAAATATCCAATCAATGTTCTTTCAAAGCATCTTCTAAATCTATCTATTATATACTAAAAGTACATTAAACTTTCTACAAATGCTTTTACACCGCTACGTGGCTCTCCAATAATTTAGAGAAATCATAGAAATCTATTATATACTAAAAGTCTACTAAATGTCCTGCAAACACTCCTACATTATCACGTGACGCTCTAATAAAATTAGAGAAATCCTAGAAATTTAGAGTAAAAAAAGAAAACCATCCAACCTTCAATTTTCACTTAAATTAGTGGACCAGTTATTTTAAACATTGGATTAGAGCTTAAAAAAACGGATTTCTCAAAAAAAGGATTATGCTACTAATCTCTATCCCGGTAAAAAAAAAGTGATGTGCTTAAGTCATACGATCGTCTCCTTCCCAAGAAAAAAACAAAATTTAAATACCTACACCATATATGATCGAAAAAAGATAAAGCCAAAAAAATAAAAAGAAAGCACGCACACATACATAGTAGTATCGGAAAGAAATACTGATCAAGAAAAGTCATCAGTTCAGCACTAATTTGTTGTCAACAACCTTTAATCTACGATTTTATTAAAAATAATACTACACAGATATGCACAGTTAAACTTAATCGTAAACTTATTGTAGTGATAAATATATCATGGCAAATGATGCCAACATGTAATAGTTAATGCGATAATAATGTTTCAAATAATTTCATATGATATTTTATGGTTTCAAATATCACTTGACAAATATATAATGTTAATTTGAATCTACATATGTAAAAAATTAAAATAACAAAACCTAGCACTGTTTTTTAAGTACATCTATTTAGGTTTATTTAATTTTGGGAGAAATTGAGATTCTCAAAGTATTTGGAATTTTTCAAAACTTTTCTTATTTGAGGTGTCAGAAGCACAATTAATAGATTGATGAGAAAATTAAATTAAATTTTAGCAAGTGGTAATAAAACAACAGAATTTAGCTTTGGTTTTTAAGTGGATCTTTTTAGGTTTATTTTGGGTGAGATTGAGATTCTAAAACTATCTGAAATTTTTCAAAACTTTTTTATTGCTATTTGAGGAGTGAGAAGCATACATGATAGATAGATGTGAAAATAAATAAATAAATAAATAAGATTTTAGACAATCGTTTTGCTAGAATACAACCCTTAATTCATCACGAGAATTATGTATTTTATTTGCCAAGCAGCATTGGCAAAACATGAATAATCCAATAAAATACGCATCAAACTACTTATGATATATTTTTTATAGTTGATAGAAATTCTAATATACCAGGTATAATTGATGGACAAATGTTATACACCACTGAACCCATCTATAAGTGCACTCTAGCAAATTAGTTAGTGTAAATAAGTTTCTGAAAATAAGTACATTCTTAGAATTAGTAAATGAGTCTCGTATAGTTATAAACAACATATGGTGGAAACAAATTTGTCGCTAAAGTATAAATCTTTATCAAAATATAAATAATGATATGGTGTTTTGCAGATTTTCGTGGTGGTACGTCTCTTTAGTTATAGTATTTTTTAGAGAGAATCCATTATATACCACTGACTTTATCACACGTCTACGATTTGCCACTGACTTTATCATGTTCTATAATATGCCATTGACTTTTGCTAAACTTCTACAATTTACCATCGCCGTCCGGTTAGTCTCCGTGAGTACTATACAAATTTGTCGAAATGACCAAAATACCCCTGGGAGAAAAGGTTTCAAAATTTGGATAAAAACTATGTAATATCATATTTCAAGTTTTTGGTCAAATTTTGGATGTTTACAATCTTATGTGTATAATATAATATTTTGATAATTTTATCCAAGTTTTGGAAGTTTTTGTCATAGGGGTATTTTGGTCATTTCGACAAATTTGTACAGTACTAACGGTGGCTAACCGGACGGCGATGGTAAATCGTAGAAGTTAAGCAAAAGTCGATGGCATGTTGTAGAACGTGACAAAGTCAGTGGCAAATCGTAGACATGCGACAAAGTCAGTGGCATATAATGGATTATCTCTTTTTTTTAAGTAGTGTCGAATGATTAACCCCACTCATTTGAAAAACATAATATTGTATGTATTCCATTAAAATTTGAGAAGTACTTATTACTAACTTGATATACATATTTTGTCTATTCTCTACCAGAAATCGATTCAAAACTTAAAAAAAAATATTTTCATCACCTCCTTCTTTCTGTCCCTCTTTGTCCTTCAATATAGGGTGCAATACTTGCTATGCCATCATAAATTTGCATGGGCATGTAAATGGTTGAGTTAAGGTGGTGTCCATAAAAGGCCATCATAGGCAATGTAACTAAAGTGACGTACTTACCAATATAATCAATTGTGAGTGTACCAATAGTAAACTAAGTGTTAAAATTGTACTCTACGATGGATTTTAGGGGCATGGCTATATCGATGCGAGACCTGTATGTTTTAAGGCATTACATACGGAAGCCTTGGTTGGCAGATACAACCGACTTCATACATTAGAAAGGCATTCATGTTTATTTTTAACGGTGTTATCGTATTATTCGGTAGATATGGTATATTTAGCCTATTTATACATAGACGTAAAAATAAGTGATGAACGACGGGTTATGTAGTGTAGATGAATTTTTTTAGTGTATTAATAATGTATTGTTTGCTTTAGTGGTACTAATACAATTTCATTTATTAAAAGTGCACCTAACTCTTAAAACAATGATAGTAAGTAGTGATGACAAACAACCAGTTTATATATGACCAGAATAAAGGGATTTTTATTTAAATCTAAGAGACACTCTTATCACATTAGTAGTATATTAAAATCTACCATCTATTTTAGGGTAAATATATTTCTTTTTTATTGTAGGATAATCTAAATTCTTTTACAGTATATATATATACACACACAGTGATGAATGATTCCTTTTAGCACTCCTTTTTTTAATAAAAAATAAGATGCATGTGTATTTTTATGAAATTTCTTTCTGATTTATATTCCGGAATGTTGTACAGTGTTTGAAACACAAACTATAATATATGCCCGCGCGAATGCGCGGGTTATCTTCCTAGTTTTTAATATAACGAATTGTCATCAGCTTGTCATCTTTCAAAAGACGGTGGAGTATTATATTGTTACTATTGATCACGTCGTACATCTCCATGTTTATGTTTTGATGAGATCACGGATGACATTACCGTCGAGCTGGTAGCAAGAAATCAAACTCAAATAGGACCCTGCATCTGGAATTATTAATTTGTATTACTACTTGTAGATAAAACCATGTTCCTGATGATGTTGGCCATGGGTGACTGCTGAACGTAACGTTACCAACCCAGTACGTAAGACAAGTATCTAAAGTCTTAATAAGCATAGCAGGCAATTCACGTTTTTTACTAAGTATTTTTTTTTAATTTACTCTTACTTAAAGCTTTATAAGTATGACAAAAAAAAACTAAAAAATCATATAATCCACTGAAACTTATGTGCTCTTGGATTATGCGTGCCACAGTTCAGTTCTCGAATATTTATAATTTCTCAAAATGATTTCTACATCAGCATTGTTTAGATTACATGTTGTGAGCTATTTTTAGGTTCATACTGACTGTGATTTACTATTGATTTCCAAGTCGACACAAGATTATATTTCTTTCCCTCTACACTGTACTTATCTCCATTAATTTCGTATGAGTTAGCTATTGGCTGGCAGCCTGTGCTGCAATGCTCTTGCTAGTGTGCTTCAGCGTTGCTATCCATCTTGTACAAGGGTATGAAGCCCGACCAGAAGGCCCGAGCTAC